TTTACAAATTATGATTTTTATCCCTATAATTTATAATATTTATTATTAAAATACAAGTAACTAAAATAATAAAGAATTGTAAACCATATAAATCATAACAAGAACAAATTGTAAATCATAAGAATAAAAATAGAAATGAATTAGAACTATAGCAATGAAAATCACAATTTCTAAACCATAAGAACAAAAATTATTAGCTTCGTAGAAATAAAAAAAAACGTAATTTACTGTGGTTCTTTCTTGACTGACATTACATTTAACAAAAAAAAAAAAAAAAGAATTTACAGTAAAATAAGATAAAGAAACTAACAATTAAATACAAAGTTAGGAACAAAATTTTATAGGTTACGAGGCCTATTATATGTAAAAATCCTAATTTTCAACCTTTTAAAGATTATTTTAATGTATAATATAACATCAAAGACAACCCACTAGTAAACATATTATAATTGGTGATTTTATTTTAGAAAACATATTATAATTGGTGATTTTATTTTAGAAAACATATTATAATTGGTGATTTTATTTTTTACAAGTCTCAAAATTTTTGGAATAAATCAAAAAATGAAATGCCTCTAATGATACGACCATAAGCTATATCATGAATTGTACTTTATTTATACAAAAGACACCAAATTGGTGGATGCCGTTAATGTTTCAACTTCAACTACATAGAATAGACCGCGTTTGTCAGGAATGCGACATATATGTGTTATTTCTCTCCAAGCTACAACATTTTGTCGTTCTTTTTGCCTGGAGCTTCCTCTTCGACAAAATGTGAAATTTGCAGTCCCTTTGGGGATGCCATACACTGTTTGGCAAGAGTCACTAGCCTCACCACAACGAATAACATTTTAGAAGGGTGTCTCAGACCATGCCTGGATTAATCYCGGCAAATTGAGACTGCAAGAAATCAGCCTTGATAACCTCARTRGTCATARTTGTTGTATACGTCTAGAATCGATTGTTGGTAAGTGTCTTTTGCCTGACAAAGAAAGATAAGATTATCTTATCCCTCATTTACCAGGTAAGATTGTCTTTGTCCCTCACTTGCAAGGTGAGATTATTAAACATTTACCAAATAAGAGTTTGTCCCTCACGTACCAAGTAAGATTTARRTCTGGCTTACCCGGTAARATTATAGGTCTRGGCTTTGGACATGGTCACCTGRTAAGCGTTTGATAAACGACTCATAAATTCAAGAATGAACTTCAATGACCAGAAGACCTTAGTGGCAACATAAGGAAGATATYATTATTATTATGAACAAGAATTGATTGCAATTCACATTAGAATGCCTTTGCCTGTTTTCTAAAGCAACAGGAAAAATAGAAACAATTACAACAAGTGCACGTACACGTACAACACAACGCAAAACACCTTCGGTGAATCAAATTTTGTTATCTGTCACTTATTACCCGACTTTACAAGCTCAKCATCCTCATCATCAATATCCCAGCTTAAATCCTCATCATCATCAGCAAAGGTACTCAACCGCTTTCGCAGGTCACCTTTCTTTTGAGTGTCACCCTCAGTGACGTTCTCCTCATCGTTATTCCCAACATCTTCAATCTCATCCCACTCCAAATCTTCATCCTCATCCGCTTTCAAATAAACCTTTTCCGATTCAACTTTCTCCAAACACCCATTTCCACCATCAGGTTTTGGTTCCTCTACATCGTTCTTATCAACACCACCCATATTAGTATCCATCKCCTTATCCTCAATAACAATCTTAGAACTTCGAGTTTTGGATTCATCATCCGGGTTCACTTGCTTTTCAACATTCTCCAAATCTTGGCTTTTTGTGGTATTTGATCTTAATTGATCAGATGTTTCTTGTTGTTCTTTGTTATTGTTATTGTTATTGTTATCATCATCATCATCAATATCCCAACTCAATTCTTCTTCAATATCTTGTGATAATGATCTCTTGACAAGCCTAGCTCTTAAATCCTCTTGCATTTTAAATTTATGAACCTTATAGAAATACCTATACCAAAATGTTGCATCATCAACCTCAATTGGAACAAGTTTTGAATAGATTCCCGCCAAAACTCCATTGTCACCAACTAATTTCTCAATCTCATCCTTGTTATCACCCATCACAAACCCTAATTTCCACTTATTATAATCATCTATATCCTCAGGATCTTCACAGTAAGTTCGCGTATCTGTCTGAATCGCATTCAATTGAGCATCAAATCGACTGTACCTCCTCGAATTCAAATTCAAACCACTACGATCACTAGAACCATGTCTTTCAGAAGCATCGGAATCATCAATTCCAGAGGAAGATGCGAGAAGCGAGTCCTTACCTTGCACGATGAATTCCGCCGTCGATTTCAGTACTCCGTCGATCGCGGAGGTTCCGACCTCGATAGACGACGGCAGCTCCTTCACGGCGCGACTCGCGACTTCGCGAAACAAATCGGATTCTTTCCTCAAACCGGTTCCGAATTCCTTTAGATCGCGACGGTAGGTTTCGAAGACTGATTCGGATTTGGTGGTAAATGTCTTCACCAGATCCCCGAAGCTCCATAAACCGCCGCCGATGCCGCTGCCGCTGCCGTCTTCCGATGAATTAATATTGGAAGTGGAATCATCGTCTTCATCTCCTTCGCTTTCTGGATGATTTGGGGATTGATTTGAGGGAGGATCGGTATCGGATTCGTCGTAGTCATTTGGGTCCGCATCATCTGCTAAGATGGATCTGAAGAAATCCATTTCAATGTGAAGTGATCGAAGAGATTAGGGTTCGCTACAGAATGACGCTGTAGCTTCTCCTTATGCGAAATAAGCTTATTTCCATGGTAATTTGGGCCCTATTAACTTAATGGGCTTTTACAATCTCAGGCCCAATTAGTAAACCATAAAAAGGATTAAAATCGATAAATAGATATATTCTATTTGAATTTTGTACCCGGTCTTCCAACCTTGTTATCATTCGGTTAGTGATTTAGAGGTGTTCATCGCTTGAAATTTATTTGGGTCTAGGTGAATCTACTTCGATCTAATCTTTTATTAGATATTGGATTTTATCATTCGATCTATTCCGATTAATATTGGATATTTGATCTGATCCAATGACTGATTGAATCGAATCTATTCCAATATATTGGATGTTATTAATGGTTATTTGGATCGAATTGAATTAATTCAATATTTTGATCCAATTTTCAATCAATTTATACACCATTACAACCAATTATTTATATATATTTTTTAAGTTATTAAAAAATAATGCAAATAAATAGCAACAAAAAAATTATCGTAAAATGTTAATAATTATATATAGTTATTAATTGGATATTAGTTATATGATAATTCTATAGGGATTTAGATGGTCATTGATCGGATTGGATCAGTTAGGTTATATTGGATGTTAGACTGCCATCCAAGAATTGACTGATCCGATTGTTGAAATTTTATATTCAATTCGATGCAATTACAGTTGATATCTGATAATGGTCGATTGATTCTAATTGGGTCTGGTAACTTTTTGCAAACCTCTATTTTCAGTGGGGAAAAAAAGGTCCGAGCTTTTTAGAGCTGGGTCATGTTTTGGGATTGAGAAAAGGCCCAATCGGCCTTTCAAACATAACCGGGCATTTTCAGGCTTCTTTAGACTGGATTTTTTTAGGTCGGGTCTGCCCCAAATTTTAGCAGATTGGGTTTTGAGCACTGGTTAGGACTGGATTTTGAACTTGAAACGTTTGTTATCCAGACAGGATACAACATAATAGGACATGATAATACAGAACATAACAGTTGTTTAGCGTTTAGTAATATAGAATTGGACATGACATAACATATAATTAAAATGACACCAAAATAAAAATTTATGTAGTTTTCAATTTTTATGTTAAGCCTTTTCTATATTATTATTTTTTAATTAATTATATAAATTATCAAAATATAAAAACAATATAAAAATAATATTTTGAGAACAAAAAAATAAAAATTTAAAAATCATAAAATACCGTAAATAAAATTTTAAAAATAAATAAAATGTAAATAGAAAGACATATTTAATGTTTTAGAAGAGAATTAAGTTTATATTGAGATTATATTAGTAAAACCTAGTTTATTCCACCTTATTTCATGGGATGAGGGTGAAACACGTCTGTTCCACTTTGTTCCCGTCTGTTTCACATACAAATATTATCAAACAAAAAACATTGATCCTTATTATATCATATCTAATATACCCTAAACCTTAAACCCTAAATTCTATAACTCAATTAAAAAACACATATGGAAAGAAAACCAACCGAAAAGACCAACTAAAATCACATGATTCTCATTTTTCATGGTAGTGTCGGTACCTATTCAAGAATATAACCAAATTCAAGGAAAGGACAACTCTATCTCTATGCCTCATGCTCATCCTCAAACATCTTATTATGCTACCAACGGTCAAGATACACCTCATCAAACATTTTATGTTATCAACGGTCAAGATTCACCCTCATCATACAAGCAAACCCTTTACCCTTTACACTTTAAATAGACCCAAAAAAGAAGACCCATATACCACTTTTTTAATCTTTTGTTTACCTCACCTTCAAAGATTAGAATCATACACAAAACACCTTAAATTCATGTGCTTATTGTGTGTTTTATTAAACCAAAACCAGCACCAAAATGCAAGAAAATAGAAGCCGCCCAGATGATGGTTTCAACCCTCTTGGCATTTGCCATAGGCTATTCAATTTCATCATGAATAGCTTCCTAACTAGAGGTACAAAACGTGTTACATTGGGTACAACAACCAATGCTGCACCGGCTCGAGACGATCGATCTCGAGCTCCTGAACATAACCCGAACCAAGATTACGTGATCAGGCCCGGTGGTCATGACCCGACTCCTGAAATACTCGTCGAGTTTAGGCACACAAATGGTGCAACAGTGAAGCAGAGAAGTAAGACTTCTGATCAAGTTTCGGTACGAGAAAAAGCGACTCGAACATCCCGTCAGAAAAGAGATCCACGAGATCAAGGTGACGGAAATGGGAGTGGGAGTGAAAGTGGGAGTGGCGAAAACGTCATGAAGAAGTTGGATTTGATCATCAGAGATGGTGCGAACCTGCCGGGAAGACGACATCATCTTCTGAGTGTTGCTTCGAATATTAATGAGAAAGCTGATGCATTTATAAGGAGCAGGAAGGAAGCCATGGAAAAGAATTTGAGCTTGAAACAGATTGCTGATACGTGATTATGATCAAAGAGGTTGACATCAACCAAAATAAGCAAAATTCCAGTTTGCAGATATGATTTCTTATATATATGTAAACAGAAATAGGTAGCTCATGAAGCTACTATAAGTCTATAACTATGAATGTGTATTTTATTCATTGATGAATAGTGTTCCTTTGATTTTGGAACTCCATACTTGGCTTTTTTGAGAAGTTATAAACCCTTCAAGGTTTGTTTGGTTCCGAAAGTTTGAAACCGACTAGGGGTGGTTCAGTTAGCTACAACAAAATCGGTTTTATAAGAAGGTAAAGTTGTCTAAAAGTGTCCTACCAGACCGTTTTATAAGATTTTTAAGTTTGTATAATCAAACCAATATTATGGGTCCCATATAAAGACGTTATAATGAGAAGTCGGAAGGAATTGAGTTTACTAACATGTTTTTTAAAACACTTTTGAAAGAAAGTATCTACTCCCTTGGTACCAAACTAATTGTCGACAATGAAAATGACACGTGATTTTCAGAATTCGTAATTATTACACTTTTTAGTTATTTAAAAGACGTATTTACCTTAAGAGAGAGAAAAAAATTTCTCCATGTCATAACCAAGGATAGAATAGAAGAATAAACATTTGCTTTCGAAAGTAAAATCTTACTTTTTGACAAACTAAAATAGAAATATGGATACATATTTTATGATAAGATTGAATATTAGTTTTTCTACATGACACTTTTGAAAAAGTGTCCATGAACACAATCATTTTTATCATACTTTTTCAAATTATCATAAAAAAATAGTATGCTTTATCTCAAAATGGTCCTAAAAACCTTGTTAGGTTGTCGTATCAATTACCAGCTTTACATATGATATACAATTGTTTAGTTTTATAAACTTAAAGTTCTATAAAACGTCTATTAGGACATCTATACATATTTGACTATCTTATAAACCTAACTTTATTGTAGTGGTTTACCGACTTAAAAGGAAACCAAACCAAAAACCCTTAGGTGGCGTTTGGTTCGCAGAATGTTTTTGGATGAAATRGAATCTGTTAAAGGAATTTGACTTTGAAGGAATTGGAATGAAATGTTGTCAGGTTTGACCACCTATTTGGTTGGCAGACATTGGAATGTAATCTGTTAAGGAATTAGAATCTTTTTGTTTGGTTCACATAACTGGGATAAATTTTTGGTAAATGACCAAAATGTCCTTTTTTGAAAATTTTAATTTTTTTAAAACTAAAAATACTTTAATAAAATAATTATTTAATATGTAAAACAATATAAAGTACATAACTCAAATATAAGCATAAGTCAAACGACGTTACTAAATCGACGATGGTCGGTGGTGGTCCACAGTGGTTCAGATAGTGGTGGTCCGCAGTGATTCAGATCGATGGTGGTCCGTAATGGTTTAGATGGAGGTGGTCAGCGGTTGTTCAAATAGGCGGTGGCGGCGGTGGTTGTTCAAATCGGTGGTGGTCGGCGGTGTCCGACGGTGATTCAGATCAACGGTAGTCGCCGGTGGTTGGCAGTGATATAGATCGATGGTGGTCCATTGTGGTTCAGGTGACGATGGTCAGATGTGGTTCAGATCGGCGATGGTTCAGATTGAAGGTGAATCAGATCAGTGGTGGCTCAGATCGACGGTGGTTTAGATCGGTGGTAGTCGGTGGTTCAGATCAATGGTGGTCGGCGGTGGTTCAGATCGATGGTAGTCGACGGTGGTAGTCGGCGGTGGTTCAGATCGGTGGTGGTGGTGGTCGGCGGTGGTTCAGATCGATGGTAGTCGGTGGTGGTGGTCGGCCGTGGTTCAGACCAGTGGTAGTCGATGGTGGTAGTCGGCGGTGGTTAAGATCAGTGGTGGTGGTCGGCGGTGGTTCAGATCGGTGGTAGTCGGTGGTGGTTCAGATCAATAGTGGTTGAAAGGTGGTCGACGATGGTCATATTGAGTTTTATGATATTATAGTATATTAGATTAAGGGCATATTTGGTATAATGAAGATAGAGATTCTATTCCATCAAAATGCCATGTAGTTGCTAAGGAATGTTAAAATCCTTTATCCATGAAATTCATAGAAATCTGAAGATTCTTTTCGCTGAAATGAATGAACCAAACGAAGGAAATGAATCTGGTCAAAGGAATTCAAGATTCCAATTCCACCAAACACCACCTTATACTTGTATCAAACAAGCAGGCTATTGAATGAAAGAAGAATTTAGCTACCTGAATCGAATTTACAGGGAAAGAAACCAACCTAGTGTACAAAAGAGAGGGATATGGGGTCCCTAGAAATCTAACTAGTCTAAATTAAACAAAGATCAATTAAGGTATAATTAAACATGATAAGCTAAAACGAACGTTTTCATTGTGTGATCGAAGGCGCTTATGAAGATCGCTAGATCCCGAGAAATATCGACATTTTTGCAGCTAGCCTCACCTTCCATCCTTATGCCATTCTTCACGTTTAATTCTAACCGTAAAACCCTATCTCGTTCACCTTTGCATCTCTTAATCAACCTAAAAACGGAATCCATTCTTGTTTTTTGGCCTAGAAATCAAGAATATGCTTTTTTTGCACCTCGAGTTTTCTTCCTGCTCGATCAACGGTGATCTTGATTTCAATTGTTAATCGAAGATATGTTTCGAAGAACGATACAGATCGTACGGGGCCCACAAGTGGTCTACGACGCAGGGTTTCCTGGAGTCGAGTCTTAACCATGGTTTACCTTTGCCACTCCAATGAAGCAGGCTGATTGCACCAGGGTGCAAACTCCTGCATTTTCCTTCAATATTGTCACCACCCAAACCATGTTGGTTCCAACAATGGTCTACTGCTTTGATGTTTCCAGCAAAAACAAGTAAAAATGGTGGCAAAGATCCCAAATGATAAATCCTCTTTTGCTTTTGAACCACCATCCATTCTTCAACTTTTTGTAAATACCTTCCTTTCCTCCATTTCTCCACATCTAAAACCATCACCCCTGTGTTAAAATAACAAGGATCTTTCCCTTCAAATATATTCCGCAGTTCTGGATCGGTCCAAAAATAATCGTTGAAATATTGTGTGAAATTCGCTTGACAATATTCGGGTGCCGCGAGGACCTTATCTTGCAAGTCAACTCTCCATAACTTCTCAATATCATCCACCACAACAAGATCCGAATCCAAATAGATTATCCGTTTAACGTCAACCGGGATGATGTCTGCAAGATAGATTCGAGCGTAGTTGAGGGGCTCATCGAGGGCTTCACGGATGGATTTTGATATTTTATCCTGAACCATCCCGGAATTGAATCGGTATAGTTTGAAGTTGAGATATGGGAAGGTGGTTTTGATGTTGGTTTTGATATCGTGATCAAACCGAAGCCAAAGGAAATGGAAGATTATGTTCTCCGGACAGCATGAGTTGTGCAAAATGGACAAGACGGCGGCCATTGTTCCCCGAAGGTAGTTGGAATCAAGGGTCATGGCTAAATGGATTCGGTCGTTGGTGGAGGAGCCGCATGCGTGGCCATTGCGGAAGGCCGGGGCTTCCCGGAAAACGGGAACATTTTGTGATAGTTTTCGGTTGAGGGTGAATCGGAGATTGGTGGCGGCAAGGACGGTTAATGGTGGTTGGAGGGAGAGAGACAGGAGGCCGATAAGGAGTAGAAGAGAATCCAAGCTCCGAAAGGCCATCCTGCCGGCATTAAAGGATGGATAATGGAAATATCAGGGAAAAAGAGTCAAAACAGCCATTGAAGGCTGATTAAAAAAGATACGTCGGAATCTTTGTGGAAAATTTTATAAAGGAAAAGAAGATTGATGGGTTTGAGAGGAAGAGAAGATTATTCGGAAGAAAGATGTGTTTCCTTTTTTGATTTATAAGCTTTCATGGTCAACTTTCTATAACAATTTTGAATTTTGGTTGACGAATCAGGCAGTCAACAATTGTCAACAAAAGTCGTAGTACTAATAAGTTGTTCCCTGTTTTCTATTTGACTAAAAAGTAAATTACGTTTTTAGTCCCTCTAGTTTGTTGAAAGTAGCTATTTTCGTCTCTATCTTTTAAAACTATGAATATCAACCTTATAATTTATAAATATCGCTGTTTTCGTCCTTATAATTTATAATTATTGCTACTCTGTAATCTATTTCATTTTTCATCCCTCGTGAACGAAAATAACAACGAAAGTCACATGGACTAAACAGCAATTTTAGAACCGCTGGGGTGAAAGTCTGCAGTTTTTAACAAATCATAAGGACTAAAAACTTAATTTACTCTTTGACTAAATTAAGAAGTCAACAGAGAAAATTGAAGAAGATTTGATGCACCTAAAACAAATTGAGAGAGATGAGAGGCGTACCGAATCAAATGCAGAAACTGAAGCTGCAAAAAGCACTCGAACAATTGGAATCGTATCCCTTTGGGAATGCTTTCGTCACTGTCGCCGGTGACATTCGCCGTCAATCAAGGAGGCGTTCTCAAGTGTTCCTAAATCGGAAATCCGGAATAATTATTTTCATTCACATACACACATGAATAATGCGAAGAGTCAAATATGATAACGAAAGTAATGTAAGTATATTTGTTCTAAAAACATCGAGGTTGTTATTGTAATTGCAATTGAAGCTCATTTTAGTTCCATATTTGAACCCATTTTGCTTCGATTCCGATGTCTAGGCTTGAACTTGAAGTTCGCCAACATACCTTCACAGTTTACATACATGAATAATGCGAAGGACCAAATTATAACTATATTTACTTTAAAAAAAACATCGTCATAGTGATCGTGATTGTAATCGGAATTGAAGCTCATTTTAGTTCCAAATTTGAACCCATTTTGTTTCGTTTCCGATGTCTAGGCCTAAACTTCAAGTCGCCAACATCAGCATACATGAATAATGCGAAGAACCAAATTATAACTACATTTGCTTTATAAAAAAACATAATGATTGTGATTATGATTGTAATCGGAATTGAAGCTCATTTTCGTTCCATATTTGAATCCATTTTGCGTCGATTCCAATTTCTAGGCTTAAACTTTAAGTTCGCTAACATACCTTCAGAGAATTATCGTGATTGTGATTGTAATCGGAATTGAAGAGCATTTGAGTTCCATATTTGAACCAATTTTGATTCCGATGTCTAGGCTTAAACTTGAAGTTCGCCAACATCAGCATATACATGAATAGTGCGAAGACCAAAATTTATAACTACATATGCTTTTAAAAAGACATCGTGATTGTGATTATGATTGTAATCGGAATTGAATTATTTACATATTTGGACCGATTTTACTTTGATTCCGAGTCTAGGCTTAAACTTGAAAGTTCGCCAACATACCTTCAGAGAATTATCATGTTTGTGAATGTAAATGTAATTGGAATTGGAGCTCAATTTAGTTCCACATTTGAACCGATTTTACTTCGATTCTGATGTCTAGGCTTAAACTTGAAGTTCGCCAACATTCCTTCAGAGAATTATCGTGATTGAACGTGATTGTAACCCGAATTGAAGCTCATTTTAGTTCCATTTTCGAACCAACTTTGCTTCGATTTTGATTTCTAGGCTTAAACTTGAAGTTTCACCGACATACCTTCAGAAAGTTATCGTGATTGCGAATGTGATTGTGATTGTAATTGTAATCGGAATTGAAGCTCATTTTAGTTCGAAATTTGAACCGATTTTGCTTCGATTCCGATTTCTAAGCTTTAACTTGAAAGTTCGCCAACATACCTTCAGAGAATTATCGTGATTGTGATTGTAGTCGGAATCGAAGCTCAGTTTAGTTCCATATTCGAACCGATTTTGCTTCGATTCCGATTTCTAAGCATAAACTTCAAGTTGGCCAACATACCTTGAGAGCAATTCTCTTTGCTTCATTGGAACTAAGAGTCTTCTTGTGATCATGGAAACAGATCCTGAAGGTGAAGTAATTCTGTTCAATGCTCGGTCACCTCGGTAGTCGAATGATATGCTGTCTTCCTTCCACTACATATATATGAAGCCGCGTACCCAATATTTTCAAAATTTTCATTTTGGTTTTATCGACGTCATATCTCAAATATTTAAAATAGAAATAAAAATAAAATAAGTTACACTTTTTTAAGGATGGATATCTTATGGTATCTAGTAGTGACGGTCAAAAACAGGTCTTGAGTCGGGCCAAACCGGTCTCGGGCCGGGCCAGTTCTTATCGGGCCTGAAGTTTCTTGTAGTTGGTTCCGGTCCCGGTCCTCCGACAGTCCCGGGCCGGTTTGGCCGTCACTATCAAGTATCAAGCTTTTTTCTCTAATATCATGTATCAAYCAATTATATTTGGTATGCCAAATTTAGTGTCGTGTACCAATCAACTGTACCAACTTAATTGGTACATCTTTGCATCGGTTTTGTCCCAACTTCAAATTACACATATGAAAACTTAAAGTTTTGTTCAAATTTTGAGTGACATTTTAAGTTTTCAAGCAACACATCTTATTTTTAAGGAGTTTAATTACAAAGAATAAGGGATTGTTTACCAAAAAACCTTACGTTGTAAGTATTTATCGGTAAAATTCAACACAATCACTTACTTACTAGGTAAGATTTTAGTCAACAAAAATGACATCATGTACAACAATTTACTCGGTAAGCATTAACTATGGTAAGAGTCATTACCCTCACTTACCAGTAAAGCTTTTGGATCTTGTCTCGTTCTTACAGGTAAGATTTTTGGTCCAACTATATTCATTTGGACTTGGTACGGTACTATCAACCAACTGTGATTAGTATCAATTTAATTGGTATGGTTRGTACACATATTGMTTGGTTTGGTACAACATTATCACCCCTATAGTTTTCATGTATCCATGTACGTAAATTGAATACCTTGATATTATAAATATCACGAATGAGGTATGAAAATGAAAGTTCAAAAATTACGTTACATAAAATAATAATTGAATTAAAAGTATATGCATTTTCATGTGATATACCCTAAACYTAAATAGTGAAATAAACAAAAGATTACATTAACTAGAAGAAGTTCTAATACAAATTCTCGAAATTTGTACAAACTATACAAACCAATCAAATTAGATATCTATGGAAATTATAAGAGTTTATTTATTATGATCTAGATATTTATGAAAGATCCTTCAGTTTGATTAACATTATAGATAAGGAAACAATTGAAATATTTATAAAACCAGATATTCACTACACTAGATGAACGATTGAGATTGGTTTGTATTAATTAGAGAGTTTGTATTTGAAAATMTATACATAACCATTGGTCCGATTTTAAATTTTCAAATTACATTAATCACTTTCGAAATACATATATACCGTTCAAAAGTACGACACCCAATCAGCTATTTACTTCTAGACTTCCTACTTAAAAATAGAGAGAATAGAAATCTCTAGAACTTAGATATTGATAAAAGACATGTTATTTTAATTATTTCCATGTTATAAATTTTTATAAAGTTTTTTTTTTAAAATGTAATAGGATAATAAATTTATAATGTATTTTAATAATATATAATGTTGAAATTAATAAAATATAGTAACTACTGGAGTTCGATATAACTTTTTCCAGCTACAAAGGTGGTGTCCGATTAGTTTGAGCTAGGGCTCCAAAAGTTAAAAACGCTTGGAAGTCCTGAATTCGAAACCAAGGAGAAATAAAAATCATCTTGTGATCACGGAAGTTCAAATGCGGTGACTCCAAACCACCCGCGAAACGGGTGGTCGCTCTGAGATTAGTTAGCTCGCATAGTGGGTTGGATATCTAGGTTAATAAAAAAAATCCATAGATTTTGATTTTAAATATTGTAATTTTAACCACAAGGATGGTGGCTGATTGGTTTGAGTTTGGTTCCAAATGTCAAAAATATCAGGAGGTCTCAGGTTCAAATCTAAGGAGGAATAAAAATCCCCTTGTGGTCACGAAGGTTCAAATGCAATGACCCCGGAATATCTGCAAAGCAGGTGATCGCCGTAGGATTAGTCGGCTCGCATAGCGAGTTGGATATCTAGGTTAATTAAAAAAATTGTAATTTTAGAAACATTATAGCATAGTTAGCGAAGATACACTGGCTTAATAAAATACRAAGAAGAAAACAGAAGTTAACAAACGTGCATCGTATTTGTTTTTGTTACAGAATTACATCAAAAATTGACCAAAAATTACTTCMAGTGTGTTTCTTTGTACGCTTTAACAAGTAGCAACTATGCGAATCTCGTTTATTCGACTCTTTTTAAGATCTTGCACAAACCAACCATCATTCGTTTTACAACTCTTCTCATTGGTATAAAAAASGTGGCTAGTAAACAACCGTCTCGAATCCTATTTTAATGGTATCCATGAAAATGTGAATGAACCAAGAACAAGAAACACCAACGAACTCACCGTACTCYAGTCTATTTCGATGTTGTATAATGATCCATAAACATATCTTCATTGTCGAGATATCCCCTTCTAAATTTGTGGATGGAGTTTCAAACTGCTGTTGAAGAACAAGAACCCGCTTACGCTCCACGAGAGACTAGGCAAAACATATCCATGAACAAAAATCGATACTATATTATAAAACATTTGACAAAACTATCTTTCACTGCTTTTGGTAAGCGGATGGGACTGGATAAATAATGAACGGGATCGGATTGAAGGGGCAAGAGTGAGGTAGGCAGGTGAAAGAATTYTGRAAGGTTTTAAGGGTTGCAATTTGACATGATTAGTTTAGTGATTTACCAGTTTTATCTCATCAATATGATTTTTGTTTCACTCATTCCCATGTTGTCCCGGTCCTAATGTTGCACCAAACATCGCACAACAAGTTTTTAATTAGTCRTATCCCRTCCCGTCTCGCATACTAAACGAATCCGGGACTTGTATCATTTTGTTATTGAAGTCTTTCAAGTTCTTATTGTGTTASAGTTTAGGAACCGTTTAAGACTGCTCGGTTGAAAGTAGACCTGGTTGATATATACTCTTATGGTTTTATAGACAAAACCATTCACTAACAACCAATAGATGTCTATAAAGCTTATAAAACTCTTTAAATCAAATGTCCAAGTCTTGAATCCAGAAGCAAGCAAGCAAGCAATTTTATATGTTGCTACTAGAAAACACAGTACGTACCAACCTTACAAGAGAACAGGATGGCATATCAGCGAAACTTGTAACGTTATGGCCTGAAGGTCAAAGYTCATCTTTTAAAGTTGACTGGTAGCATTGTTCATCCCACAAATATGGGAACTTCAGTTTGGCCGCAGTGTGTGGCACCAGCCAATCGTCATACATGAATCTGCATAACCATGGCCCAAATATATAAATAATTAACCTTGCCCAGGGGTATTTGACCCAGCGGTACCCAGGTTACCGGTGGATCCCAACCTCCATGGAGGTCAAGGGTTCAAGCCTCACCAAAGGTGAACCGTGTCTGTGAGCAAATACAAAAATATTATATAATTTCAAAATAATGATTGACCTTGAGCAAATACGAACCGAAAGACTCACATCAAGACATCAACCAGTAAACATGCAGTGTGTGTGTTGTTGAAGTTACTTGAGAGTTATTATCATGTACTGTAAAAAAAAAAAAAGGAAGGAATCACATACATTTTAATTGGTGGACGAGATATTATAACCAAAACTTGCAAATCTTCTTCTTCATTTGTGTTCCAGAGCTGTGGAAAGACTTGAATCAAATTGTGCATAGAAGAATAAACTTATTAAACTTACTTCTATGCAGACTCTAAACATAAATATATTCCGGTCTTTAGCCACGATGCAAAATTTAACATTTTCGAACTCCCACAACCAATCTTAACATCAACAGTAGACAGGTCGGATCAAGATTGGCACTGGTACGTTTTTGATAGGGAATAAATCGCACTTTAATTCAAACCAGTGGCGGATACACATGARTCTCATAGGGGGCAAAGGCCCCCAACAAAATGCTTCACAATTGATTAAAAAAATAATTTTTATTTAGTGTTTGCTATTGGAATCCCATCACCAAAATAAAAGGCCCCCAACTATGATAAACATCATACTTTTAATTGGTTCAATATCATATTCTTTGGTACTCAATAAACAACTCCTCAACTTAACACATACATACTTCTCCTTAAAACTCAACTCAAACCTAATGTCTTACTATTTAACGAGCAATGTGTTTACTTGTTTTAAGTGTAAGTTGTAGAGAATACATACATATATATATATATATATATATATATATATATATAGTATAATGTGTCGGTTTAACTAATAAAAAATTAACTGCAAATCAAACCGAATAAATTATCTTTATTCTGTTAATAGAATCGTTTAAGCCGAAAATGAAAACCCGAAACCTTTTTTGGTTTGGACGAATTGTTTGGTTTCGAGATTTTTCGACACTCCTAAGTATGCCCTCAACCATGATAGTTTCTGGATCCGCCACTGATTCAAACTCATGCAAAAACGCAGAAACTCACGTTTACTATATAGCAAAAGGAGAGATAGCATAACCATTTACCTGGTGAGCATCATTAACAGGGACGAAAAATGTGCTATTTGAAAAGATTCTAAACTCTTCTGGCTTGCCAGGGGACTTTGCATGAGAATTTGAGGCAAGATAAAGAGTCCCACTCCCTTTTAGGACTACAAAAACTTCCTCACATGAATGCCTATGAATCGGTGTGCGTGTTCCTGGTGCAAACGTTTGAAGCCATATCTCAACCTGTYCACAACGTATTTGAGGAAATGGAATAAAAACAGGTAATCTGGCATACTTTGCATGAAAACATGATACACAAAAATTAAAACACAACATGAATCATGGTGGTTAGTGTGGACTTATCATCCTACGATCAATTATAGTATCAACGTATTTGAGGAAATTGAAACAAAACCGGTAATTCGGCATACTTTGCACAAAAACATGATACTCAAAAACTATAACACAACATGAATCATGGTGGTTTGTGTGGACTTATCATCCTACAATCAATTATAGTATCAGCATATTTGAGGAAATGGAACGAAAATTGGTAATTTGGCATAATTTGCACAAAAACACGATACACAAAAATTATAACACAGCATGAATCATGGTGGTTTGCGTGGACTTGTCATCATACAATCGATCATAGTATTGATGTGGTGAAACAAAACAACAGAAGGCAGAGTTGATGGTGTGATTTCACCTCTTTCAGCCCATGCATGAGCGAACCTGCAATGGTAATGTGAGATAACCCAGGCCTTCCATAGTTATCTTGTGGTAGCTCACTGATATTCCTCACTAGTGGTAATCCTATATGACAAAAAAAAGCATGTTCTATGACATTATGATTGCATAAAAGGTATGTTCAAAAACTATAATATATAGTTATAAACAACACAGATTAAAAACATGAAAATATGAACAAAAAACTATGATCTACCCTGATCAAGTGAYCATTAAATATCCTCTAAGAACTGTATTTGAGCTGAATCCAAGCTTGATTCTCTTTAAGAGGTATAGCCATAAATACTCAARAGCCAATAGACAATTGGACTCAAAAAACTACAAATTATAATATGTCTGATACAGGAACCGACATTTGGCATTTAAGCTCGATTCTCTCTACTAAGGGAAACAAATTTTGCACAACGAGTAACCATTAGCAAACAGATTCGAGTAARTACCTCAATTAGGGCAAATTATATGAAACAAAACCCCCAAAATTTTGGTACAAATCACAGCAGCAGATTAAACTAGGGCTCAATAAAGGAGTTCGACATAAATAAGGAGCTTAATTAACTTTTCATACAAGACTAGCATATGAAWCGGTAACCTAACTTYAAATAACCGAACTGAAACGATTTTAAGCTCGATTCTCTGTACTAAGAACAACAAATTTTGCAAAACGAGTCACTATTAGCAAACAGATTCAACTAAGTACCTCAATTAGGGCAAATTATATGTAACCAAAACCCCCCAAATTTTGGTACAAATCACAGCAACAAGATTAAACTAGAGCTCAATAAAGGAATTGGACACAAATAAGGAGCTTAATTAACGTTTGATACAAAGACTAGCATATGAAACGGTAACCTAACTGCAAATAACCGACCTGAATCGTYTATGAAAATCGTGTAGAGAAGAGAGAAGCAACAGACCATTAGCTGGACACGGAGAGGCTGAGACGGTTGCCGTAAAGAGAGAAATTGTAAGCATGTACAGAATCACAGTAAGCTCCGCCATCTCTCTCTCTCTCTCTCTCTCTCTCCGGTGGGCGTGAAATCGACGGCGACGCCACGCGTCTCCTTTTTGGGATATTTCACCGATACAATAATACAAACAATTTTGCCTTGATTTCTGCTTCMTTTTAGAGTAAACTACAAATTTGGTCCTTATGGTTTATTAAAAGTAACATTTTTCCTCCCTGTAGTTTTGAGATTACAACACCATTATGGTTTGCAAAAACGTTTGGATTTAGACAAGGTTTTAAATGTCGYAAGACGTRACGTGGCGGTGAGKTYAAGCCTYAAGTTTTACGAATTACTGTGAAGCCACGGTGTTTTTCAAGATGTATAATAAGACTGCATACACACACACTTCTATTGGAATGTGAGTATGTATTTATCTAATTAAGGTTTTAATTTTTAAGTTTTCAAAGCCTATAAAAACATGATATCAAAAATGCAAAATTGGTACTAAATCTACTGAATCGCCATTCACTACCTTCAATTTTCAAAGAGTTCATGTATAAGACTGTGAGTAAATATTTTTTTTTTTTTTAAGGTTTTAGTTTTTAAGTTTTCTTTTTATATTTATTTAAGTCTTAGATCACGTACATAATTATAATCTATATCTAAGTTATATATTAAAGTAACTCCACACATCACAATATAACGTGTTATAATGTGTTACAATGCAAACCAAGCCTTAGAGGAAAGCCACAGAGGTTAACGTGATGGCGAACCCAAGCCTTGACGCCATAACGAGRCCATAATGAGTTGCTTAGAACCATGGATTTGGGACATCTCTCTGACGATCGTTAAAAGATTCCGCTAAATAAAGGGGTATTCTATCATTTTTTTATGTCTTTCATTCAATCAAAGACAAAAACAAAACAAAAAAAAACCAAAAATAAATCGATAAAAAACATTCTTAACGGTCGTTGAAAAGAAGATCAAATCCGTACATTTTTTTAAACAATGAAAACCGTCTTATAATCTCCAAACTATCGAGACAAAACGTATTATTTTCAACAAACCATAGGAACCAAATTTGTATTATTTCGTTTTGAAAAATGATTTTATATGATAATTATTTAAAAAAATGTCTTAGTTTTTYTTAATATAATGATAAAAAAAACTCCTAATTAATATAATAATTTTTAAATATTTTTATTTTAATAATATTTAAAAATAATCAAGTAAAAGCTTAGTATTTTAAATTTATTTATTTTCTTTTCAAGTGTAAAAAAAATAGTCTCACAGATCTAATAAAAACAAGYTGGTCTCACATGATTCCAAATCTAATTAACTTGTTTAATTTGTTACAGGTCAAATTATATATAGAAATTTTGTTATGCTAGTTAGAAAAATAATT